ATATTACATTACATGTTGCACAAAACCACAAAACCTTTCCTGCAGTTAATCTATTTGCCAAGATTTGAATTTGTTCAAATTAACGTTCTTCGGTGACTTTACCAATCTTAGGGCTGATTGGTCGCTGATATTTGAAAAAAATGCTTGTGTATAATAAAAGAAGGAGAGCAAATTTAGGAATAAAAAAGTTTAGAAAAGTATAATACATCACAAAAGAGAACAATAATACTTCATGCTCTTTTGTGGATATGCAAAAGACAGAAACATGTTTTCAGCTGTGTTCATTACCGTATTTGATGGCATATAAGATGCACTTTTTTCCCCTAAATTTGGTCTCATAAAAGTTACCTGCATCTTATACGTGAAGGACACAGTCTTATACATGAAGGTAATTGCATTCAATAATTGTTTATTTGGCCTTTACGAAATGTGAGAACTAAAAGAAACCATGCTATTGAAACTTTTTTCCATGTGTGTGGTCGTCTAAATAAGGGTGCGTCTTATATGCCGTCAAATACGGTAATAAAAAAAACTTTCCATATGAAGATGCTTTTTGAAATGTTTTTTCACTATACAAGTAATACAAAAGCAGCTTAGGATTTTTTTTTTCACATCCAACCAAAGAGCTGAGAGCACGATTAACATGCAGTGGATGGTTATGATTATTATGCTTTACATGCAGTTTTCTTGTATATGTAAAACAAAATTAACTTTTACAAATTCCTGGATTTGAAGAAAAAAATGTATTGTGTGCGACTGATTGCTTTTGGAACAATAATTCTTCCACTCACTCAAGCTTCAACACATTCAAATAAGAGTGCTTCTCAGATGCCATTCAACCAAACCATAGCCAAAGATATAAGTGGCGTCTGCTTTCGTAGAGAAAAAGTCTTGGTGGTGAAATCGGTCAGTGTGTACTTTAACTACTTTGTCTAACAGATACAAAATGAATCAGTGGCCTCTGTTACTTGCTGATGTAGTTCCATAAGGAAATTCTACAGAAACTTTTGTTTGAAAAGATAAGTTTTACAATTGTACTTCCTGTCTGACTGATTTTGGTATTTTTCATATATACAAGAAAAACAAATTGAGTTGCTTTAAAATTAATAAGCATTTTAAAATTATTTTAGATAGCACTGAGTAGGGAGATAATTTTCTTTGTAGATATTTTCTCAGACTACAAGTAATGTTCTTCAAGTTTTGAGAATTGTGCATTTTCAAATCAGATTTGCTTAATTAATATGCATAGACAAACTTACATTCACACATATAAAATATATATTAATACATACATAAAAATGTAATAAAATTAGAAAATAATGCAATTTAGGAATATTAAAAAAATATTTTTTTTTCATTATATGCACTTATTTTTGTTTTATTATATGCATTTATTAGTTTTTTTTTTGGGGGGGGGAACAAACTTTGTTGGATTGCATATGGCAAGGCAAATGTGATCTGTCTGCATAAGGAAAGTGATGTCCCCATGGATGATTTCTAAGTAAAACTGACTCATGTTCACATTACACATGGGGAAACCCAACAATGTTCATTCATTAGAGTTTGAACGTGAGTCGAACAGCAGTAAATAGCTGTCTTCACCATGAGGTCTTTGGTGGGGTTTGACAGAATTGAAAATTTGATAAATAGTATTTAACAAATATAATATTAATAAACGAACTAGATTTATAAAAATAAAATGCATATCTGACGCAACTAAATCTCTATATAACACTTAATTACAGTGATAAACTGAAGTATAATAACATTGATAAATTCAAATATGAAACAGAACATACATTGATTCTATATAGAGAGCAAAATTTAGCATATTTTGCTGGGAATGTCTGGCAGCAAATTCCTTATTACATATATCCTTATTTTAAATTCATACTATATCTGATGTATGATCTATATATCATTCATCTATATCTGACTCTTACTTCAGAACACAAATAATCCACAAATTTCAATAAAATTTTATGTCCCTATTGAAAATTCTGTGGATCTTTTTGGTTTTAAGACAGCATGTACAAAAGAATTTCCTCTTAAAAAAAATATATGTGCCAGCCAGAAAATGTATTTTTGACTGAAGCTCATTTCGCCATCGGTAAAATTTTTTAAACATAAGTCATTTATTGAAATTAATTTTTCATTGATCAAAAAATTAAATTGTGTGACACATTATTAAAAATATTTTATTTACCATTTCAGATTCTGGGAAAAAAAAAACATCATAATAAAAGACAAAGAAAAAAAGAACACATTTCATTTAATGGGGGCAAACTTTGGCACATACACTTTTCAACAGAAGAATATTTGAAACATCATATGTGATAATGGTTTGCTTTATTTTATTTGATTTTAAGAATGCACTCAAGGGCTGTGACTTCCTTAGGGAAACTGGTTTGTATACATGATACATGTGAGGAAAACCATGAAAGCGTCCATGCAGTCAGCCCATTTGCTGGGATTCGAACCCCATATTAAACTACCAGTGTTCTGCTACCACTTTTCTGCTCGGCTGCTGGTGGGCTGTCCAATAACAAAAACAATTGAAATCTCATACTGAACGAAAAATGTTAGGCTGGTATAATAAGAAGCTATTGCCATTTCAGTAGCATAAAGTGACTATCACAATATTGTTTATTTATTTTATTTAGCTTGAGGACTGTCTCTTCTTATACTGATAGTTTGACCTGGATTCAAAACAGACTGGATCGGCTCCGCGATTTTATTTATATGTAGCATGAGTATGAGACAGTTTCCCTAAGAAAGTCCTCCATGAAAGCATACTTGTCCTTAGGCACCTTCACATACTTTGCCATAATCTAACAATATTTTATCTATATGTAGCATGGGTATGAGACAGTTTCCCTAAGGAAGTCTTCCATGAAAGCATACCTGTCCTTAGCACCTTCACATACTTTGCCATAATCTAACAAACCAAATAAAACTTAATACCAAGCAAACACTCATCACCAAGACATGTCTTTGTGAAGAACTTTTTAAATGAAATTTGCTCATATTTGTGTTAAGCATTTTTGCCTCAAAAATTGTCATGTAGCCAAACCATTTCCCAGGATTTGAACCCACTTCAAACTATCAGTATTCAATGATTTTATGTCTCTGATTTCAATGTCTCTGACAGTCTTTTGTAGTATTTATATCAAATTATATTTATTTGTGGAGTAATCTCGAAGACACATTTATTTTGTACCAATAGATTAAGTTAGGAACTTAAAGAATTATTTTCATTCATATTACTGCTATCAGCAAGGACATTTGGAGGAATATTAATTTGTTGTTGTTACATGTGGCTTTATTGGAAAGATCAATCCAAACACAACAGCTCAAGGATCACACAAAAACAATGATTTAGCCATAGCTGTTACTCATTTAGCGCACCACCCAGGAGGCATGTGTGAATTAAGGATATCACGGACGCGAGTAACATTGCCTTCTGATATTAATTTATTTTGTAATAAACTGTTCTTTTGACTGTAATTTTTTGTGCACAGAATGTCTGACCTTTCCATGTACTAACTGTTTTTCTTTACTTCATTAATTTTAAAGAGATTTTATATGGATAGCTTTCTTTACAAATAAGTTTCAAGAATTGCATATTTCCCCCCTAAATTTTAAATATGTGTTGTATTTCAAATCTTAATAATAAAATTTTTAAAACAAATATTTTTATACATTCTTTTGCATATTTTATTCAATTTAACTGAAGTTTTCGTTTATAGTGTCATAGTCACACAAAGCTCAGGCATGATGAAAGCACAGTTTTAACATTCTAAAAGGCATCCAAAATGGATATACCATTAAAAACACCTGTACTTGAAATATGAGAGCAAACAAAAAATCTAGTTGCAACATTTTATATTTTTTCATGTTCTTGACAAATCGGAAATTGTAACCGACTTTCAATATAAAAATAAAATGTGTAATTCTATAGTATATAATTAGTACATCTTCCATTACGATTATGATTTTTTTTTCCTGTTTCTACTAAAATTCTGTAATGTACTATAACAACGAGCAATTCTATTTGACTTTCATTAGTATGAATAACACAAGGCAAACTATAGTAAAACAATTTATCTCCATTCACAACTTGCAGTTGCCAGAAGGATAACATACCTGCTGTCTGACAATGAAACTGAATTTGCAGGACTCTTCCGTAAAGTGGTGTTTTCAAACAGATTTCACACCCTATTAAGAACTATGTGTCAGCCGCCTGCAGAAACATAAGGGGGAAAAGACCATAGTGTATCGTCTGAACATGTCTTAAGTATTTTGATCAAGTTTGGGCTCATGTCTTAAACATTTTTCAAAGGATTTCTAATTTGTGTAAACTCATCTAAAGCATTTTTTAAATGAAACTCTGAAAATGTTTAAACATATCTTGAGCAGGTAAAAGGTTAAACATTAAAAAATGATGAGCACTGAAACTGAATCCTTTCAAAACATGTTCAAATGGAGAAAAATATTCTAAATCTACATACTATTTATTGTCTTATAATCAAACTACAAGTGTTGTGCTGCCATCTGGGAAGCAGCTGTGTAAATAAAATTAATAGGGGCACAAATAAAAATTGGAATTCCCATGACGTTTATTGCAAAAGTGCAGCCTGTGGGAAATATGGATGCAACAAAATATATTCGGAATGGCTGCCTCTATGAGATGCCGGCTCAACCGCTAAGGGGTTAATATCAAATCAGAAGAGAAACAAAGCAATATAAAACTTAAAATTAGGCAAAATAACGACTTTATTTTGGCATTATTTATACTTTTCTAAATAAAACTCCATGGATATTGAGGAGGTCAGACACTCCTGTGGATTTTTTTTGTTGCTGAAGAATGGGAAATTGTGTGTAATCACCCTCTAAATGAATAGTTTTATTTAAAATCTTTTGCCTAATTTTATGATTTTAATACCTTATTAAATAAATTATTTAATTTTCCAAAGAAATGTAATATTTTGTGTTTTCAGATTTTTTTGAAGGCAAGGCATTCCTTTTCTTGTTGTCTGTGTATGGTTTTTTTGTTGCATTTTTTGGACCGTTGTTTATCAGGGCAAGTAAGTAATGACACTTTTAAAATTTTATTTCTGATGAATTTGTTTGTAATTCAATGTATTACCGAAAGGTTTTTTTACTTGCAGTTTTTTAATCTTTTAAAAACTGTATCTTTGAAAGAGTAGCTTTATTGTGATAGCTTACCTTTTATCCTAAATTGTAGTCTCTTTGAAATGATAATAATTAGTATAGATTATAAACTTGATTTATTGAAAGTCATTTAAAATAAGATTAAATGTATGAGAACAAGTGGTGTTCAAATGAAAAGGTACGAAGCGTCGTAACAGTCAGACCAGTTGAAATTTTAATATACAGCTTTGACATAACGTAGTGAGACATCTAAAGATGTAAATGCAGTATCTGACGTGGTTGTGTGCATGCGCAAAAGCCCGCGCATGATGCCAGAGTGAAGTAGGCAGTTGTGCGTTCCATTCAGTTGATGCGGCAGTGCGGGTGATGACATCTTGGCATTCATAATGCAACAGTTGACGGTTGAGGAACAGCGAGATGTTATCAAATTTCTGACTGTGGAAGGGGTTAAACTGGATGATATTCGTCGCCACATGGTGGCCATATACGGAGCTGAACTAGCACTCCAGCCGATTTAACCCCTTCCTCAGTCAGAAATCTGATAACATCTTGCTGCTCTCCAATTGTCAAATTTTGCATTGTGAATGCCAAGATGTCATCACACGCACTGCTGCATCAATTGGACAGAATACAGAACCGCCTGCTTCACTCTGGCGTCATGTGTGGGCACATGCCCATGTGCATAACCATGTTGGATACTGCAATCGTGTCTTTAGATGTGTCACTACATTATGCCAAAGTTGTATATTCAAATTTCAACCCATTTGTTTGTTATAATGTTTCATATCTTTTCATTTGAACACCCTTTATATATTGAAAAGCATAATGGTTATAATTAGTAGACTGATATGAGTTTGATAAAATTTGTATTCACTGAAAAAGATACATTATATATTAAATGAATAATTCTTTTAAATCATTAGGGTAGTTACAGCACTCAAAGGGCAAAAATAATAAGGTGTATTTTTCTATTAACAATGCAGCAGTTATCTCCATACAAATTATATAAGTAGCTTGAAATACTAATACTGACCTTAATGACCCATTTAGGATTCAATGTTGTTCCAAAGTAGAATCACATATGAATATGAGAAAAGTATTATAGTTTAGTAAGGTAAATAATTTGCAGTTATTCTTTTTTGTAGCATGATGCTACATTAGCATAACTGATTATGGTCACTATTTGAACAATTTTTTGCTGTGGATTATTCCTTTCTCCTGAAAGAACTTGACAGCAGCCAGCTCATTATTTAGGAGTTGCTGCATCATAAAAGCTCTTAATTTCTTTCTCAAATAGTCAGTAACAAGTGTTAACTCACTCACAGAGAACATATTTGGATCAAGAAATCAAGTCAAAATCTCTTATCATCTAGACTAAAAAATGATAAGGGTATATGTTGTCTGTAATAAGTCTGAAAAATGGTAATGAACTTATATGAAGTGAATTCTATAGACCCTTTGTTGAATCTTTTCAGAAGAGATAAATAGCTGCTGGGCTTCAAGATTATTTGTTATGCAAGGTTTTGATGTAGTTGTGTTATGAAGAATAAACTGAAAGTCAGAGAAATGCAAAAATATGTGCTGTCATTTTCTAAGATCTTGGGGCATTTAATAAAGTAATTTATATGGCAAAGGAGGCATGTTCAACTATGAAAACATTTATGCAATTCTGCATTAAAAAAGGTGATGCAGAGACTAACAGCATCATGCTCAACCTGACAATGTAGGGCCAGTAACCACTGTGCATGCAGTAGTCAACATGGCTAGAACATTCAAGCACCCTAATTTTAAATTCCATTTTTCTATAGCAGTATGGGGCTGAGTTAATCCTTTGCCATATGCATATTAAATAGAAGTGGCATGTTATCAGAAGAAGGCATGAATCAATTTGAGCTGTGGATTAAAAATAAAACTGTAGCTGAAATACCTTGGTATAATAGACTTAGTTTAGTTTGTTCATGTTTTGGTCCATAAGAGAAGAGAAATGGATGAGAAAGCTTTCAAAAGCTATCTAGTTGTTAAAGATTATCTAGCTATTGAAGGAATATTTTCATGTGCTACATGCTAAAGCAAAACTCTCAAATGAAGACTATGTGATGATGATGCATATTCCGGAATTTTTGTGAAGAAGAATATCATACAATTCTACCCCAGGATATAAACTTTCAAGAGAGAGCAGACACATATGACCACATTGAACTTTCATTACATGAAAGAAGATCAGAAAACTTGTATAGTAGCTTAAGAAAAGAATGAAAAGAAACATGTTAAAGTAAATGAAGAACAAGAAACTATTGAGAGTTACCAAAACTGAAAATAATGAAGATCAAGTTATTTCTGAGATGCAACTAATAAAATGTTCTTAAGCTTATGACATAATCACTTCAGTGGTTAACAAAGGATTTAGCTTCTTAAGTGATTCTAGTATCATAGAAGTTGAGTCATTTGCTACCAACACTAATAATCCTGACAGAAGCATTTCAGTAGTGAGGCAGGTGAAAATTGGAATCATGCCACAGGTAGAAAAAGGCATAGCAAAAGCATTAAGACTTGAGAGAAGCAGTTAATAACCTTTTATCAGTAGGTGATGCTGACTGTTGCTTCAAATTTCTGACATCAAAATTCTAATTTGCTATATTTCACTCAGTTATCATCCGAGGTCCATGTGGAACTCGTTACCTAAGGGAGCCAGCGTAACCGTGACAACAACACATTAGAAAGGTGAAAATAATGTGAAGCCTTAAACATCATCCGAGCAATGAGAATGTAAAATTTTTCTGTAGATCTGTGGGCCTTTTTTGAGGCAAAGAGGGAATATATTCGGTGCTCGTCTTTAAAAATATTACCGTGCACTTGTGCAGTGTTAAGCGATGTAATCAATTAATATTTCCTGTTCATTCCGAAATAATGTTCACTGCCTCCTGTATGTTTCAGGTACAATATTTAAAGATGCTGATATGCATTTTAATATAATTATAAACTCTTGTATCATAAAATTGTAGTAACCAAAAGTGGTAACATTTTTATTCTTGTTTTACTTAGGTATGTTGCTTTATTTTTCTATAAAGCATTACATTGGTAACATTTTTATTCTTGTTTTATTTAAGCATTTTTAAATAATCGGTATCTAACATTATAAAATTTCTACCATAGAGAGGAAAAATGGAAAGTACAATAAAAAATTGCACAATCATATTATAGTCAACCTTCTTGTGCGAAAAGCTCTTTAAGACAACCACCTCTGGAAAAAATCAGTCTTTTTAAGAGCATAAATAAAATATCTGTATTCTGAACATTATTTCTTTAAGACCTTCATCTCTATAGAAAACCAAATCATTCAGACATGTGGGTGATCTTCTTAGAAATGGTTTTATTGTATTCTACAAATTCCTTCAATAATAACAAGAAATAATTTTTTAAATATTTGTGTGATGTTGCACAAATTAAAGAAACAAAAACAAAATTTATGTATATAATGAAAAGGGTTAATTAAATAACTAAGAAAAAATAGAAAGCAAATTGGCTAAATAAAAAAATTAATTTGTAAATTATATGATATGACCACGTTGTAAATTTAAATGTAATATGAAATTTTGATTTTGTTTTGTTTGGGCTTTTTGTTAGCTCTTGGAAGTAGGTCGTACTATTTTCATTTGAAAGGAAAATGCAAATTCCACTCTTTTTCAAAATAAGAAGAGTTGCCAACCCACATGCTATCATTATAGCATTGTAAACTGACCAGTTATCAACTAGCATGTCAACTTATACACCACAATCTCAATAAACAGCAAACAGTGTTGCAAATCACATAGTCTAGCTTCGAATTTGTCCTTTTTACTTATCATATTTATTATGTGAATAGATATTTCTAGTTAAACTGTTATTTTTTAAGGGAACGTTAAAAAAAAATTGTAAGCTCACCAGTGGCCAACTGTGTTTGACTGCTGAACACTGGCAATTTTCCAGAGCATAGTATCTAGAATTAGAAATGCTAGAGTCCTATGCTAAGCCATTAAAAGAATGTTAAAAAAATTTTATGAATAAAATAATAAGTGATTAATTCTCAGCAATTAAAGCAAACTGTAAGACCTATCATTGTCTTAAATAAAATAAATAGTAAATACATAAATATATTATAAAAATAAAATGAATAATAAATACACTGCTGGCCATTAAAATTTCAACACCATGCAAATACAAGAAAGATATTTATTGCACGTAAACAGTATGGCATGAAGACAAAATGATTAAATTTGTAAGCCTTTTGGAGGTTTAGAGGGGTGCAAAATTAGTAGAAACAGCTGCCATGCCTGGCAGCTAAAACGCCCCTTACTTCATTAGGCATGGAGTCAACCTGGGCGTGGATGACAGAAATGGGCAACTCATTCCATGCTGCTTCAAGTCTGTGCCACACGTTATCAACTGTATTAGTTGGAGAAGGGTAGCAGGCCTGTCTCTCAGCTACCCATGACCAGATGTTTTCAATGGGTGACAGATCTGGAGACCGTGCAGACCATGGCAGCATTCAAATACCACTGTGTGTCGAGGAAAGTCAGAATATAACCTGCAACATGTGGTCTTGCATTATCTTGTTTGAAGAGGGCATTTCGCAGACCTTGAAGATAGGGCACAACCAGTGGTTGTGAGATGTCAGAAATGTACCCATCTGCATTCAAATTACCATTGATCTGAACTAGAGATGTGTGTGTCGTGTACCCAATGGCTGCCCAAACCATCACACCAGGTGCAGGGCCCCTGTGCCAATATCGAATGCAAGCAGGCAACGTGTGGTTTCCTCAGACACTCTAGACATGTATATGGCCATCAGAATACTGCACATAGAACCAGGACTCTTTTGAATAAGTGACATTGTGCCACTTCTGTACTCAGCTTTGTTGTTTGGCACACCAGAGTTGCCGTCTCTCTCTGTGCTGCATTGTCAAGGGAAGGCGAAGTGATTGTCACCTTGCTGATAGTCCATGCTACTGCAAACGTCGATGCACCTTATGAGCTGCTACTGGGCATACTGCAAACATGCCTATTTCCTTACTAATGGTCTGTGATATGGTCGTACAGTTTTGCAGGGCTGACCTCACAATATGTCTGTCCTCTCTGGCATTAGTCATGGGAGGTCATTAAGATCCTGCATGCCGTTCAGTATGATCTTCAGCAATCCATTGATTCCAGATTCGCATGACAGTGGTTGGATGTCAACCAGTGCAACTGCCGATATCACAGATCGATAATCTACACTTTCGATAGGCAACAATTCTGTCTGTCGAATTCTGAAACTTGCTGGTAAGCATTTTCTCTTCTTATTCGAGGCTTATTCTGAGCAAACTCCAACCTTATAAAGCTCTTTCTGAATGAGAAATCCACTACACAACTTTTCTTTTATACAGTGCTTCTGATGCGTTTCACCCTCCTGCATTGTCTAAATGCACTGAAATACTAATCATTTGCATATCCTGACTTCTTCCTTTCATACTTTCTTTTTCATTCATTTTGAAGTTTGTCAGATCATTCCTTCCTGGTGTTAAAATTTTAATGGTCAGCAATGTACTTTCAGAATAACCTTACAGAATAGTGAATGTTTTTGGTATATGGATAATTTATAATATGGTAGCTTGGACTATTTGTCTTTGAAGTGAATACTTGTGTAGTAAAATATGCTTTGTTAATAATTAGTTTCTTTCATTTTGAAACTAAAAGTTTTGTGTTTACATTACTTGAGGAACAAACTCAATTCACACCATCAGTTCATTCTCTTAGAAATCAATCTTATGGTAAGACTACCAGTGATCAAAGTCATGAATTTCACCTGGTCATGGGCACTTTTGATGTTAAATTTTAAAGAGTAATGTATAAGAAAAATCAAGCATCATATTTCTATGTAAAAATAATATATTATAAAAGCAGTTAAAGTGTATTTTTAATGCAGCAATTGTTTATATTTGGGGGGGGGGTTGATATTTTTATCTTACCCCATTGTTATATGATTCTTCAAAAAGAGTCATAATTTTTTCACAGTATTCTATATGAGTAGTGGCTTTAATTTTGCAAAACTATAGTTTTTTACTCAAGCCTGATTTGAAAAAAGTTTTAAATAAAATAATGCTCTTATTAGTATGTTGTATGGCTTACCATAGGGTATGCAAAATCTTGAAAAATACTGAGCACTTACTTTTGAAGGTCATGTTATTTTAGTGTTCTTCAGCTAGAACTGTATCTCAGAAACTGAAAAGTGTCAGAGCTTAGCTCTGGTGCAGTTCAAGCACCAAGTTCAATTAGATTCTAATACCAACACTTGGATTCATAAATAATTATATGGATTTTCTTGGGTATAATGTAAGAGAGCTGGTTTTTATTTGGAAGTCATCAATGGCATCCCTCTCTGTAGGCAGATGACCCTCATTATTTTTTGCCTTACTAAACAATAAACAAAAAAACACGTAGGGTTATATGGGAATGGATGTTTTTGAAGAGCATATTATAAGAGAAATTGACTGAGTTGAATAAAAGAATTGCAGTGCTTTGCAGTTTCAGCCATTCAGTCATCATTCATTTTTCAGTAGTCTCTTTATGAGTGGTGAACATAGTACAGGCAGAAACAGGCTTGCGAGGCCTGCTACACAGAAAGGAGTACCTTTTGATGATTCACAATTAACACATTAACCGCCAAAACTACAAGGAATGTTTCTTTTCTCATGAAAATAATAACAAATATTAATTTAAGCATTTATAACATAAATTTGCATTGAAAATAAAAAAATGCTCTTACCTGCGGGAAAAGCGAGTGTTGCGTTCGCACAACGTCAGCGGAATAAGACTAGGGATGTTTAGTGAGTAGGATTGTACTCGTTTGATGTTTCTTTTGAGTGGAGTGCAGAATTATTTTTTAGCTGTATAACGTTTTATGAATCTACAATTCACTTTACTTGTAATTAATTTAATATTAAAGTATACATTGTATTTCTTTTACAAATACAGATTATTTCAACTGAAAGATTCAAGCATGAAAAGCTTGATTACAATCTTGATGTAAAGCTGTATTACATAGTTTGCATTTGTAAACAGTCTGGCTATGATACTCTTTACAACAAAGTCTTTTGTTATCAACGGACTTTACGATAAAATATCTACCATCTCCATGCAATGGTTTTTGAATGCTGAATTTACTAGGTCTTCCTGTTGCTGATCTATTTCTGGCTAATTCTACACTCTCAATAGGAGTTTGCAAAAGGAATAATGCATTCTCATGTCTGAAATCTAAAAGAGACTTTATATTTCCAGTAGTAAAAAGTGGTGATATTTTGTAAGTTTAGATACGGTCTCACCTCATATAATTTATCAGTCAATTTGACTATTGTCAAATGCAAATTCTGCTTCATATTCCTGTACTGCAAGCGAGATATCAATTCTTGTGCAACAGGAACAGAAATGTTCTTATCAAAAGACCAATACATTTTTTCTTGAGCTAAAGAATGATATCCTGTAAGCAATAATATTCCAATAAATCTTCTCATATAGGCTTCAGATGCAATAAATTCTGGTTTTTTTTTTTTTTTTTTTTTTTTTTTTTGTGCTGAGCGTATATATTTGTTATCTGCACAAAATCATCTGCTGGTAAAAAATATCTTACGTAGTTATATTTATATACGCATTTATTTTGACCATTGCGTCAACGCAACACCAGCGGCTAACGGGTTAAACCAATTTTTATTAATAATTAGGAGTAAGAGGGGGAACATTCATCAGAAAATGGCTGTTTGCTTCAAGTTACTAAGGGTTACAAAACATTATAAAACCTGTGCAATCTGCAGCAAATGATGTGAAAAAGTATTCACCTAGTTTTATAGCTGGCAAAAGATGGCTGTGACATAAAAGAAAACTCTTTGCTGCATTGTTAATTCAAATTAAAAATATAGTTTTTGCTACAAGAATACATTTTAATGAATAAATTTCATTGTGATGACTTGATGTCACTTGATCTTTAGATGTCAAAAAATAAGCACTATTATCCTGAAAAATTAAATATTTGTCAGTATAGAAAAGTAGCCATAAGCTTGAATGGAGTGGTGCTCTTACTTTTCACTTTCAAATCTGATAAAAAATAATTGTAAAAATCAAAAACTATATATGACAAATATTTATTATTAGTATTATTAGTACTCTATTTTATTATACTTTGCCAAATTTAAAGGTGTATTTTGTGTAGCAGCAAACATTTACAGTACTTCACTTCAGTTTTTTTATATATTTGTATGTCTCAACATTTGCCCATGTTAAAAAAACGGACTGACATTTCTTCAAAGATCATCTTAAAAGGAAATTAGGCATATGAGTTTCATTGGTATACCAGAAGGAACCCAAACTATACTATGTAAGTAGGTTTACAAAATCAGAATGAACAAGATGGCAGTATTAGGTATTATAAATGCAGACTTATTAAAAGTTTTGATCTGTATCTAGGCATTGATTATAAGAGAACGTATAATCTAATAGCAGAGTGGGAACAGTAAGTGCAATGTTACACACTGCTGCTGAAGAAAGAATGCATTTGGCACTATTTGACCTAAATTTGAGACAGAAAACTAGAGGGAAATATTTATGTTATGTGACAGCCAAAACATTATATTGACGATACAGCAAATGTTTATAAATGCAGTCTGTAGGGTTTAAATCAAACTTCACATCATTTTTCTGTTATCTGATTGAAAAATTTATGCATTTGAAAAAAAAATTTATAGTCATAGAAAATACATAAAAATTATTCCTATAGGAATTTATGTACTATTTATGTTTCCCCATTGGATGTATTTTAAAGTGATAGTTGACATGTTTTCATGTAATAAATATTATTAACATAGTTTCACATTATTATTTTTATAAGTACTGCAGACTCTTGATTAACCAGAGTAATACTAGGCACGATGTCAACAGTTAACCCCAAATTATTATTAATCTAATAGTAGTTTTTTAAAAAAGTGCAAGAAGGAAGAATAACTTACATTATAATTAACAGAAAATATTGTTAACAATTGACCTGTATTTTAAAATATTAGAGTATAATATTTTAAGTATTTATATTTTTAATAGAGAATAATTTCAGTTTCTTAAATTAAATCAGCATTTAAAACAGAAAGAAGAGTCCTTTTGTCCCCTTGTATTTCAATTAGAATCTGTGGAAAACAAGATTAATAGCTATAGATTTAATTAATTTTTGTAATTTAATAATTTATTTTTGATGGATAATTTAACAGTATTTATACTATATTCCTGATTACGTCCAATTTAGTTATGGATTGTTGTGGATTAACACAGTTCCTAAATATTGTGAAATCTTTTGCTATCACTGTTGTTATCTTGCATATTTTGCCTTCTTTTTGCATTTCCTATAGAAATTCTGCTTTATTGTAATGATTTGTAATATTAAATTTTCTATTGTTTGTTTCGAGTTGACTAATTTCATTATTTCTTACTTTTGATGTTTGATTTTATTCATTTTTTTAAGCAATGTTTTTCTTTGGATTCCTTGCATCCTTCTTCATTGCCATTGTGTTTCTTGGAAGATATTGTGATTTTTCAAAGCAGAGTAAGTAAAAACATATGTCACCAATTTATACGAAAAAGTAATGCTAAAATTTTATATAGCCAATTTATCTACATCTTTAAATTTAGGAGAGAAGAGAAACACTCTAAAATAGAACATAAAATTAGGCAATGACATTGTGTTTGGCATAGATTTTAATCAAGACTATCAGTTTTGAAGGCAAGCAGGTACAGGTCCTTCAGTATCAGCAGCAAAGAAATATGCAACAAAGGGAAAGCCATGGTGTATTTATACCGAAAAGGAGCTAAGCAAATGAGAAGGTAGCAGAAATTGAAATGAAGGTTGGCATAAATAGTAATGAAAATTGAAAAATTAAGTTGATAGAATTTTAAAAGTGTTAGGAAGATCTAGATTGAAATTGAAGTCATTAACTAAACAAAATAAATCTTTGTGAATGTGGAAAACTTCAAGAAAATCCAAGTCATCCATGGAAGACGCTTTTTGTATAATTCTTGCAGACCCAAAGGCAAAATTGTGATTCTATTTCCAAGCATAATTAGCTATCTAAGACTTGTTAATATCATCTTTTTGGGCATAAGATTCATGTTCCTTGATGCTAAATTTTAATACTATTTTAGTTTGCCGATATATCTGGAACCCCACTGAGAAGAAATGCTATAAATTCCAAGTCAGAAATGGAATCTTAAGAATTAATACATGGAGTTTATTGATAGGTAAGAAAGTGATTTGAAAATTTAACTTCTGAAGAATTCATGCAATTTTATGACAGACAGAAGGATGAAATGAAAGCATGACAAGTTTATTTATGTTATTTCTAACAGCAGAATATCTTCTTTGTGGAAAGGCTGAAAATGTTTTAAAGGCCTTTATTAATGATCACAAAAGAAAATCCTTGGTCAGTGGCAACTGATCTCAAATAATTTTTAGTTCATTAGCAAGTAAAGATTCTGAGGAACAAACTTTGAGAGTGTGGAATACATAATACTAAAAAGAGGCAATTTTTTGTTTATCTGAGTGACATGACTTAACATGAGGAGGCAAACAAACAGAAAAGGAAAAAAAATAAACAGTAATGCTGAAATCAGATTTGTTGCTGATGATAATTCATTGATAATCTTTTCTAATGAAGAGGGACCTGAACCTGTTTTCCCTCAAAATCAATAGTCTTGACTAAAGTCTGCACCAAAAACAAGGTTGTTGCTTTGCTGATCTTCATATTTATTGTTTCATGTCACAATATGAAAATGCAGTTATGTTGTAAATTGTACAGTGGTTAATTTTCCAGTGTTATTTGTGATATCCATATAATGTATCGGCTTTTATTCCAAAGTGCCCATGCTAAGTTTATCTGATAGTAGTGTACTGCCAGCCAAAGAAAGGGGGGCTTTTCTTTGTCTTCCATTCTGTTCAATTAATCAAGGAAATTCAGTTTGTGTTTTTCAGATCTTGAAAGTGCAACTTAGCTTATGTATTAGATTTATATATAGCTAACATGTATTTTGATGCAAAATCAGACATTTTCTTAAATTACATGCTGATCTCTTTCATTATTTCAATTCTACACCTCAAATTTTGTCAAAGTGCCAGATTTCTGAAAATTACACATCCAGATTTTTTTTTTAATTAGCATTTGCAATTTTTGTTCAGTAATGTTAATCAAATTTCGTATATATTTAAAAATACATCTTTTTTAACTAAACCTCTTTGTTTCTTTCATGATTTAAAATTAAGGTTTGATCCAAATAAAATTCTGGCATTTTCTGATATATTTAAGGTTTTTTTTTAATATTGAAATGCTTTTCATAAATTACTGTAGGTTTTAATGAAATAATCAAAATTAGTGTATAAGCTTTTAGTCTTTCTAGTTTATAACTGAAGATTGTCATTTATATCAAGCAGTAATTTAACATTTATAAAAAATGTAATATTATCTCTCATATATTAGCTTTTAAGTATATGACAGTGGAGCAAATGGGAAAGAAGAAAAGATTAATATTAAAATTTACCTTGAAATACATATCTAAAGAGCATTTTGGTTCTATATATATATCTAGCTCTTGCTTTAATAATAAATGACACCTTCCCCCCCCCAAAAAAAAAAGACTTGAGCATCTTTTAGTTCACTATGATGAGCAATTCTTTTGAAGTATTTATAAAGTTTGATATTGAAATAGCCATTACATTCTCAATGGGAATGTAAAATTGAAGCATTTCGACTTCTCATGTATCATCTACAGGAAATTTATTGTGTGTTTTATGAAATTATGTATTTTAATTAAAAAGACCAGCATGAAGAAAAAAAATTTGGATTAAAATACCCCAAAAAAGCGTATTTGACGTTAAATAAAAAATTTATTTGATAATTTGGTACCTTGTTCTTACCATAATAAATACATCATAACATGCATATATTATCAGCAGACGATTCTGGGGTAAAGTATGAATGTTGACTTTGTTGTATAACTCGTTAAAAGGTAAGGACATTTTATTAGAATGTAGGACAGATCCATGTTACCAAAATAAGCTTGAAATTAAGGGGAAAAGTAATAGTGAAAGATAATAGAAGAAGGAACAGAATGTAAATATGCTGTTGAAACTTAATGAAACTTTAAAATGTGACAGTTTCAACACACAATAAAAAATCATTATAAATCCAGTAGCTAAATTTAGTATTAATATCTGAAATAAGTAAAGTAGCCCAAATACTAAAAAATACTAAAGAACTAGCAAGTTCAAAATTAGTGCCTAGTGCTGCTAAATTTTATAAATAAATTTTAAAAGGTTAGGATTAATGTTCCTAAAAAAAGGCCATAAGAAAATTTGAAATCAACCGATCCCTTTTTCCAAAACACATTGCAAAAAGAAAAATTTTAACAAACAATATTTGAACCGAAAATGCTAAATACATTAAAAATGGATACATATGAGTACCAAAAACGTTGGTTAATCTCTTATATTTGAAGCTTCAAACAGAACTTGTCAAGGAAAAAGTGTTTTGAAGTTTCAAACCAAGTCGATCAACTAGACAAACTAATTATTCACTAATATTACACTGCTAGGTAAGTTAATAAAAGATTTGTGTTTTAAATTTATCCTTGCCAATCTTTAACCATATATCTCATCGTAAACATCAGTATACCACCTTACAAAATAATTCTGAAAGCATGACAGTATTTTCTTAAATCTTCATTTTTAGTTTCTATCAAAGATACAAAGCATCATGGCCCATTTGGCTTGTTTCAAAACTTCCAGTTTAAGTGTACTAAGGGTATGATATATAAAACAAGCTAAATGAACCATGATGTTTGTATCTTTGATAGAAACTAAAAATGAAGATTTATGAAAATACTGTCTTGCTTTCAGAATTATTTTGTATGGTGGTATACTGATGTTTACGATGAGATATATGGTTAAAGATCGGGAAGGATAACTTTAAAACATAATTGACGTATTGACTTATCTAGCAGTGTAATATTTTCCAGGTTATCAGTTTTGTTTAAAATATTTTTTATTTTACTTGTTGATGTAGTTGCCATAGCATGCTCATCTTAGAAATCAAACTTAATGAAAAAAATAAACTTATAGGTATTATTACCATGTCACAAAACATCCTTAATTTTTTTATGTTTAGTAAAAAAGAATCATGCATAAATTGAATTAGATATTTGAAGGAAGTTCTACAAAAATTTGTTATGTGTTTTTCTTAGCATAGTCCTTCCTCCCCCAACCAAAACAAGTATACTGTAATACCCCCAAAAAGTAAAAATAAAAATATTCTAAAAGGTGCCACTTTTTAATTCCCTGGTGGATCCCAAAATCCCTAGCGCTGGCCCAGTAGACAGTATATCTACATCTAGAGATTTATTACTTAATGTCACAGTATGAAAATGTAATTACTTTGTATGGTGTGCGATGGTTAATTTTTCAATGTATTTTGACATAGCTGTGTAATTTGTCAGCATTTATTCCAAACTATCCGTGCTAAATTACTTGATGTAAATGTGTAGTGAGTAAAAAAAGGGGAACTGTTTTGTGTCTTCTGTTTCTTTCAGCTGATCAATGAAATTCAATTTCATTGATACATGGTTTTTCAGGTCTCAAAACTGTGGCTTAGTGTATATATATATATTAGATTTTTATATAGCTTTGTTTTAACTTATATATTTTGTCAGGAAAAAAATCATACTTTTTTTTAATTACATGCAAATTTTTTTCCAATATTTCAGTTCTACACGTAAAATCATGCTTTAAATTATGTTTCCTAAAAATGATATGAGCAGTTTTGTTTTAAATTTATTTTCAATAGCATTTAATGTTAACAAATTCAAATATATTGATAGAATTTGGTATATTTCCATAGTAAGTATGCATCTTTTTAATTTTTATTTGTGTCAAGGCTTTGTCTCTTCCCTATTCTCGTGGCATAATTTTCTTGAAAGTTTTCACCCTAATTTATCAATGGCTGTGCCCATTTCATCACAAGTTGTTGTAGAAAATATTAACACATTTTCAACCATTTCATTTTGGCTGTTTTCAAAAATGTTTTAAAACAATTAATTTTTGTAGGATTTTATCCAAAGTAATTTGTTTATAAGTGTATGGTAATTTATAAGTGTATGGTTGTAATTTATAAGTGTATGGTTCATCTCCTCCAGAATGTTGCATCACAAATGAAGGTAAAGAAGATGATGAAATCACAAGTGTTTTTACTTTTTTTAAAATCAAAATTTGAGATGAAACATTTGTGTCTATATTTTCTGTTAGATGATTTTTTTCATACGACGAGAGTTACTCCCGTCTATGTAATGTTTACTTCATTCAAAAACAAATTTTCATTTATTCTTATTAGCAAATGGAGTGAAAGCAAGAAGTGAGAAGCTTGTATACAGGGTGTCCAGAATTAAAGAACACTATTACAAAGAACGAAAAACTACAGACGAAAGTTAAAAAAAACTACAGACGAAATCAGTCACAAAATTGTGAATATCATTTAATCGTGTGGAACATGTTTTGTGTGTGTG